ATCTATCTATCTATCTATCTATCTATCTATCTATCTATCTATCTATCTATCTATCTATCTATCTATTTAACTACATATAGTACTGTTTCTGAACAGGAGAAAGCCACTGAGGCCGTAAAGATGAACAATTTCATTGGAATGATGTGGGTGAACAAAGACTAAAGAAAGACAGTAAATGGGAGAGAGAAAGTAGCAGTGATCAAAGACCTGTAGCAGACAGAAGTGTTGAAAGAGAGAAGGAATCCCTAAGGCAGCAAGCAGAACTGAAGGTTCAGAAAAGAAGAGAATGGAAATGTTGATCTGATGAACAGCAAGACAAAGACATATTTGTAAATTCATGAGGTATGTATTGGGGGGAAAAGGGGAAATGGGAAAAGACAAACTCCAGAAACCAAAATATACAACAGCTGAAACTAGTTTGTCAAGATGCTGATTACAGTTTATGTTTCTGCTGTGCTAAGATGACAAAAACTTTCACAAATAAAGCTGTTTTCTTAAATTAATGCCAATAAAGCAACCAACAAGAACTGCTATTAAAAGCAGCCAACAAGAACTACTATTAAAAAGATTAAAGTCATGAAATAAATTTCAAGCAATGATATTAACTGTTATTCAGCAGAAGTAGGCATTCTCTGGGATAGTTTTTGTCTATTTCTGTATATGCAAATGAAGAAAAATCTATCAGAATTTTACACTGATTTCCCAAGAGCTTCCTTTCCTGCAGACCAAGGAAATGAAAAAAAAAAAAACAACAAAAAAAATCACCCCCCCCCCCCCAAAAAAAAAACCCCCCCCCCCCCAAATCAAACCAAACCTAAAAACTTAAGACATTGCAGCAGGCCCAAAATTCATAATCCACAAGTTCAGTTGCTTTCAGAATTTTTCTACAATCACATGCAGTGTAGATGGCTGTACATACATATCTACATACACACAAATACACAGAGAAAAACTCTAAAATAATTTACAAATGTTCCATTGAAATACCTTTCAGGAAAATTGTTACTATAAGGAATTGATGCCTTTTAAGTCTAACAACTGTTTTATCACAATGTGTAATCACTTCTCCACACCCAACTTAGAAATTCGCTTTCTTTGTGCATGCAAAGAAACATCCCACTGAACTTCAAAATATAGCCAGAAATTTGATATTAGCAGTTGAACCACTAGCATTGCTCTAATCACCCTTTTCATTTAGGACATCTGTTTCTAATTAAGGGAGTACAGGCAGTTCTGTGAATGGTCAAGAATCATCCAAGCATTGAGTACTGGAAAAGGTGCACTCAAGCACTGCCAACACTGCTGTGCTGTCAAACAGCCACTTTAAAGTTCACTGAATGAAAAAGAAGGGCTTGAAGGATGAGGCAACCCATTCTTTATTTCTGAGCACTTCAAATCAACCACAGAATGAGAGCTTTTAGAATGCCATGTTTTTATCTGATTCATATTAGTGTTTTCAAACCAGGCTGATTTTTTTTTAAGCAACTGTTTACTGAAACAGAGTTAGAATCATCAGAGCAGTGTTCACAATAGCATAAAAACTATTCCTGCTGG